GAACCCAGTTTCACTGAACTATTTTTGTCTTCACCAGTTGTTAAATGAAAAGTAATACTCCTTTTCTACTTGCTAATTGGTCCTTGTGCTATGTTTACTGCACAGGTTCATATTCTGCTGTAAGACTCTGATGTGAAGAGAGTTATTGGTGACATTCAGTAGATAAAAGAAAACAGATGTCAAAAAGGTTGACTTGATGAAATTTTATGTACAAAAGGAGGATTTTAGATATATTATAGTTGTCAACATAGTACTAACAGACTTACTTCTTTGCAAATGTATCTACCTGAGATCTACCTAAGGAACGTTTCCGGCTTTAGGGCTGGTGCTCATCTCTGTTTTTAAGCCACAGAGCCAGCACTGTCCAAAGACATCTCCATGGTCATGGGGCCAGCATGACTCAACACCAAAGGTGCATGGAGCGCTATTACCTTCCCACCAAAGTGGTCCCTATTTTTCTACTTGTTGTGAAGTTCCCAGAAGACGACAATACAAGTGTTAACTTCTATTGTTTTACGTGCTTTCAAACTGCTAGGTTGGCAGAAGCTGGGACAAGTAATAGGAGCTCACCCCATTATGTGGCGCTAGGGATTTGAACTGCTGAACTGCCGACCTTCAAGTCGACAAGCTCAGCGTCTTAGCCACTGATCCACCATGTCCCCTATGCATCTACCTACTCATACCCAAAATGAGTTAATCTATGCCATTCCATGAGGAATGTTTACGGCCTTAAATATTCATAAAAAGCCCATCAATTTTTTTTTAAAAGAAGGGATTCTTTTTGAATGGATTGCATCACCCTAGTCTATAAAAATAAGCCGTTTGCAGTGACTAAAAACGTGACCTCATTTCTCATCTACAGTTTATGTGCTAAAAGAGACAGAGAGCTTACTTGAAAGCTCTTGATGCAACAGTTGACAAGCTGGATTAGAGGACAGAAGTCAGCATAATAAGAGTTGGTGACCATTAAGACTGAATGGAGATCTGACAGCTAATTTCATAAAGACCCTCTAAAATCACACACTGTCTTAGAGGATGGGAGGGTGGGCAGACAAGCCCAACGCTAGCCAACTTGCTTTCTTTTCAGTGCTCTTCCTCTTTCTTGTCTAGCTCCAGAGAAGTAATAACTGTTGATTAGCCTTTAGAATTACAGGGCAAGCAGTTGAATTTTGGGTCAAGGGTGAGCTGAGATTCTCTGAAGCAGCTGGAGAAGGTGAGAGTTAAACTGAACAATTGAAAAAACGACATGGATTGACCTTGTACTAAAGGTTACTATTAGCACTCCCCCAGTCTTTTCTACAAACATTAAGTTTAAGATGGAGAAAGGATAATATCCTCTTCTTGTGCTTTGATGAGGTGTTGTCAGCTCTCTGTGGTTTAATTTCATTATATACTCAGTGGCTCTAAATACCAGAAGTCCTGACTGTGCATGTGCCTGTGGCATCTTGGAACCCATGCAAAGTACCAAAAGGTACCACATCAACTCAGATTGTAAAAATTTAACAAAAATTGCCACCCATTCCTTTACTTTTAATTTTGAGCATCTGTTTCTCCCCCACCCACATCCTCTTTTGGCTCCAGCATCTGAATGCAATGCTCCACTAGGTTAAACAATGTACAGTGCTTGTTTCTTTACAACTCCCATCATTGCCGGCACAGGCATGACCTTTGGGGGCCATCTAGGCTGGCATCTTGGGAACTGTAGTCCAGTGTGTCTTGAAGGTAGAAGGTTGGGGAAATGACATTGTACTTTTCAGGATCTTTGTTTGATAATGAGCCAAAATAAAATATAAATGTGGATGCCAAGGAACGTTATAGGTATGTTATTAGAGCTTACATTTCATTGAATCTGTTACTCTGGTATCTGTGTATGGATCTCAGATGAAAATTGCTCATGACAGTGCTGCTTTTATGCCAGGTAGATCCTCTCTTTCATACTGAAAATTGTCTTTGTTCAGATATTTATAGTGTCTTTTAGAGTAGTATGTCAAAGTAGAAATAGAAACAGAACAGTCTGGATCTTTGCTAAAAAAAAAATGAGGCTTCCTTTGCTTATTATAGTTACTGGTCACTGTTCTTTTTTTAATTAATAGTTGATCATATTTTCTAACCTGTGGAACTAAATAAATTCAAGAATACCATGTAATCAGCTTCAGCTTTAGCATCTCAGTGAACATATGCCGAAAGATGCTTCCCTCCCTTTTTCCATGTAGGAATCTTCCATAGGACTATTTATTTCTTCTTTTACATTGATGAAGTCTTTACTCTTCCCACTGTTAACACCTACGCATGTACTGAACATCTCCAAGGAGACCAGGAAACCCTTGAGTCCAGCAATGGTGAATCCTCCAATGAGGCAGCAAGCAAGGGACACGTCCTTGAGGCATGTAAGCTTCCAGCTGTCCTCTTACAGGCATTAATTTCCTTCTGGCTCCTACAAGCAGGCTTTCTCCTTCATATCTGAAATGTTGGTGAGTCCTTTAGCTTCCTTGGAGTGAGCTGCGTAGGAATACACTTCATGAATCTCTTTGTTCTTTTCTCCAGTCTCCAGGTTTTATCACCTGCTACATACTCAAAAATTCCAAATGTATCTTCAGCTGTGGCACTGGCATCCCAACTCCTTTTATAGTTTCTCTTGCCACTGTTTCTTAGATCCGGCTATTGCTGATTTATTATATGGGGGGGGTGCATTATCCCCCTGTAAACTAGGCAGGGACCTTGAATATATAGCATTCCAGTTCTTGTTTGCATTGTAAAGATAGTGCTTGTGTTGTGCTTTGACTGTTTTCATAACAGTCAAAGAGTGGATTGAATACTGAACAGCCAAAGTCACTGTTTAACAGACTTTACTTAAATATGTAAATGAATATGAGGTTATTCGAAATAACAAGGTCAATAACCTCATTAACATCACGGGCAAAAGCCAATAGCATAGATATGCAATTATTGTCTAACTCTAGTAAAAAAAAAAGTTTAATTTTTTTAATGTTAAAAGGAGTCCAGTGTCCATAGAAATACAGACTTTCCCAGTTCATTTATTTATCTTTAACATAGACAAAGTAGCAGCAAAGCAAAAAGGGTAAATGTGAGAAACTATGATCATTGGTTCACCTCCTGATCTCTTCCTAGAGATCAGGAAGAAATCAAATGTATGAACATGGCTGAACAGCACTTTTTCCAGAGTTTGCCAAGGAACAGTGATACTGTTATTTTAAATATCAGTTTCTCTGTGAGATGTTGAATGTATGTTCTTTGTGATGGCTTTAAAAGGAGGCTATTGATGTCTCGTTATAACGTGAAACAGTGACAAAATGATCTCACCAACAATTTCTATGTCAAACTGATTCTTCGCATCAGATTTTAGAATGAATGTATGTGTGTATGTATGTATGTGTGTGTGTGTATGTATATGTGTGTGTGTGTGTGTATGTATGTATGTATGTATGTATGTATGTATGTATGTATGTATGTATGTATGTATGTATGTATATGCTGGTCTTGTTGTATTTGGGTCTTTTCCTGTGTAAGATTGAGATTGTCTTGGCAACGTTTTGGCTCACTCGCTATCTTCAGGCTGGGTTTTGGGCTGAAGATGGTGAGTGAAACCTCGCCGAAACGTTGCCAAGACAATCTCAATCTTACACGGGAAAAGACCCAAATACAACAAGACCAGCATACCTACACCCATGAAATACACACACACACACACACACACACAAACACACACACACACACACACACACACATTCAGGGGTGTAGGTATGCTGGTCTTGTTGTATTTGGGTCTTTTCCCGTGTAAGATTGAGATATATATATGAATATATATTATACACACACACATGCCAACTGACATGCTGTATTATAAAAATTCCAGTCTTTTTTTTCCCAGTGCATTGGGATAATACTGAATTCCTTGAACAATAGGATGATAGCATTAAGAGTTGATTGAGATCATCATTATAATTCAGGTGTTTTGGCTTTGCTAAACTGCTGTTGGAATTTTATTGAGTAATTGATGTGGGTTAATTATGTGTTGATATTAAATGGATATTATATTTTTTTTCCATTTCATTAATTTTTTGTCCATTTCTGTTATTTCCTTTTGGCTGTGTTTAATTTATTTTAATCATCACAATTTATGTAAGTCCTTTTCTGACCAGCACTGTTTTTTCCTGTTAGTGTTCTTGTTGTTGTTTGTATATTGTTAATGTAAAAAAATGACAATAAAAAACAACCTATTTCATAGACTAACCCCCCATTCTCCAAAAAGAGAGTAACTTCTAGGCCAACCTAATGGTGTTTCTTTGATGGGTTATCTCTGAAGGCATATACATACATAATGGCTGCATTCACATAGCATCTCAAATAAAAAAAAACATGTTAATCAAACATAATTGCTGTGTTCATAGAAGTGGTTAAATCCTTATGAAGGCTTCACTTGATGGCTTCTTCATGCAACATGATCTATCAGGAAAAAAAATATAGTCCACCCTATTTTAGCCAAGCCTAGCCTCTTATGATGGAGGTGGTGGCTCAGTGGTTAAGATGCTGAGCTTGTTGATCAGAAAGGTCGACAGTTCGGCGGTTCGAATCCCTAGTGCCACGTGACAGAGTGAGCTCCCGTTACTTGTCCCAGGTTCTGCCAATCTAGCAGTTCAAAAGCATGTAAAAATGCAAGTAGAACAATAGGAACCACCTTTGGTGGGAAGTTTCGTGCTCCTTCAGCGTTTAGTCATGCCGGCCACATGACCACGGAGACGTCTTCGGACAGCACTGGGTCTTCAGCTTTGAAATGGAGATGAGCACCGCCCCCTAGAGTCAGGAACGACTAGCACATATGTGCAAGCGGAACCTTTACCTTTACTTTTTTAGCCTGTAATGAACAGAATAATAGAGTTAGAAGGCACCTTGAAGGTCTCATAGTCCCACCATCTGCTCAAGCTGTAAATGAGCATTTTGTTAAGTTAGATAGAACTAATTTACTTTATATATTTCCTCAGGCTCTTCAGGTAGCAAGACAACTTCTGTTACAGCAACAGCAGCAGCAGCAGCAACAACAACAACAGCAGCAGCAGCAGCAGCATCAACAACAACAACAAGTTAGTGGGCTAAAGTCTCCCAAGAGGAATGACAAACAGCCAGCCCTTCAGGTAAGAAATGTTATTTTTTTTAAACAGATTTGACTTGCTTGAATAAGATATGTTAAAAGGATGCAAATGGTATAAATAGTTGGAAGATTTTTTTTTAATGTTTAACTTTGTTTTTGTTGATGTTCGTGACTTAAAGATGTTTGACAGCATGGTTGTGGTAGTGGAAATGAATCAGGGCTGCAAAGTCTTGAATTTTTCATCAATAAATCAAAGAACTTGTGAGGAACATGAAAAGAGCTTGGAAAGATTCAGGCAGGTATAAGATTCTGTTCTTTACGTTTCCATGTAGAGCTGAAATATCACCACTCTTTGAAATCTTAAAGAGCTTCTGTCAGATAGTATAGAAAACAATAAATGGTTATATGGTCTGAATCAGAATAAAGCAGCTTCCTATGAAGGAGATCATCAAAGGAGAACATTTCTGAAAGAAAGACCATCCAACATACACTGTTGATATGTGATATTCTGAAAAGTGGTGTATTAATTGTTCTCTTAATAAAAGGTTTGGAAAGAATAGAGAGTGTTTGGAATAAGGGCATATGACAAACCATAATCCAGAAACCACTGTTGTTTTGAAACAGAATTGTGAAATGCTATTATAAACTCATGAGACAATTTTCCAGTGAGATGATGTTTTTGCTTGGAAACTTCCCAATATTTATTATGTTTGTGAACTTTATATATTTTCACCTGAATACTCAATATCTGTTGAGCAGTCTTTGCAGGAAACCATTTAAATTGTTTAATTCCATATTGTTATAAATCAAATCATGGGCCAATACGATATTACGTTGGTTCAAAAAAGATAGCTGCATTAAGTAGGCGATTTGCTGTTTCGGTTTACATTTTCGAGGAAAGGTGAGTGATGTTAGTTGAATTTGGCTCAGTCAATTCAGTTTGTTTTGGTATTACTAACAGGTTCTTTCTATGAAATGGGCTGCTTTTCTTTCTAAATATTAGACATATCCAGTGACAACAAAGATTCTAATAATCTCTCTACAGTTAACTCTAGAATCCCTTCAAAAGGCGTGAGATTAGGTACTCAGGGTTATGTGGTCTTCTGTGCTCAATATGACATTATTCAGAAACTTTCCTTCCTTGAAGTCTCCTCTGTTCACATGTTTTTGGATCATAGTCAAAGTTTATTACCAAAATGATGTGAAGTGCTTTTAGTGCTGTTTTTCCTCAAAATATATAGTATATATTCAAACTCAGCACATAACATTCTATACACTGATTAGTTGTGTGGCTGATGAAACTGGAAGAGTAGGTTGCTGGCTAACAACCAGGAAGTAGCTAATATTTAGAGGGTTGGTTAGAATCCATGGGTTTGATCAAGCTTGACCTTGTGTTACTCCATTCTTTGGTTTATTGTATTTGGAAAGGAATAACTGTTTTGCTTTTTGGCAAATGCAAGTTGAAAACCATTACTATGGATGCTGAATGCTGAATCCATGCTCCTTTGCAAAAATCTCAAGAAAAAAATGTTATTTGGCCAATCCATATCTTAGCCATTTGCCTTTTAATAGACTCTTCTACTGGAGACATTTTAATGAGATAGTGTGCTGGCAAGGCCCAGTGTCAGGTACTAGAAGAAGTGCTTTGTTGTGCAGATGTCTTAAGAATTGCTCCAGAGGATGAAATATGACTGTGTTGACCTTTCAGCTATGAGCTTATTTGTCAGGATTCAAATAAGTTGAAAGGATCAAACCAAACAGTTTCCGCAGTCAGAGAGGGAATTGTGTTTCGGAGGTCAACAGCAAGGGCCACGTCACAGACTCCATAACATAGCCAATTGTTGGTACATATTAAAGTAGCGGAGCTGCTTCTGCAGTCAGAGACACAATTAAAATTCTAATTTATTAATGTATACGGAGAGCTGGTCCAACCTGTCACTCACTGATTCAAATGACTGCCCATTCTTTTTTCACCCTTGCTCCTTGAGCTTTCGCATCCTTAAACTTACTCTTGAATATAACAGAGCCTGGCAGCCCAGTGGCAAAATAAAGATGCAAGGTTTTTTTTAAAAAGGAAAAAAACAAAACTCTAAGCACGAACAATGAGTTGTTAAGAAAAATCATATAATGGAACAGAGATTCTACCTCATATTACTAGATAGTAAGTTGTATTAATAACACAGTTTGCTTCAACTTTGCCAATAGTCTGTTGTCATATTTGATCTAAAGTTAGTGGCAAAATTTCAGTTTGATTTAGTCTTAAAACCAAAATAGTTATTTTCCCCTATGAGTAAAAGGTACTTAACGTGTTGCCCTTTCTTAAAAATATATATAATAGTTTTGTTATCCTCCAGGCTAGGGCTAAAATGCCCGGAGCCCACTTGTTCAAGGTCAAAATCTTTTTCTCTGTCTTTCTCTCTGTTTGTCTCTCTTTGTCTGTCTGTCTCTCTCTCTCTCTCTCTCCATTGCTCTTCTTCCTTTTTTTTTGTCTGAATCTGGTATTATTCTTGTTTATTTACTGTCTTTATAATGTTGTACGGCTAGCCCCCAGAGTCCATCATGGTTGAGTGGCCTAAAACTGAAATAAATAAACAAATAACTCACAAAGCAATAATGTTTGCTGAGAGCATTCTTGAGAGATAAAATTTGGGAGTTGTATTTCCTGTTGTTAAATGGATGCCACTAAATGTCATTTTTTCCCTAAAGTTTATAGTATGATTTTAGATCTTTACATCTCAGTCATGGGTACATTTCCTAGCCATGCTTCTGTTTGCTTGTAAGTTTGGAAAAAAACTAAAACATTATCCTTGATTGGGAAATGTTTGTTAGGATGTGTAAGACAACTTTCTGAGAGTTCTTGCCCCTGTACCTCTGAACAGGAAAGTTGGACCATTTAGATAGATAGATAGATAGATACACACACACACACACACACACATACACACACACACACACAAAATAATTTATGGTCACTAAAGGATATTGAAAAGTGAGGTCTCACTCTGTCTAATTTAATATTAGTAGGACATCGAGCAAATGGGCAAAACCTCAAGCATACAATTGAATAATTTCTCACATTCCTAACATTTTACTTCCTGATTGAAATTGTCAAAACAGTATATATATCAGTCCTGTGGCTATATCTCCATTGAGTCTGACATCATAAAATCTGCTTTAATATCTTCTGATAAAGAAGATAAGCTTGACCTTGTTTGCTGTTGGAAATAACATTCCATCACATTTAATATACTTTATTAGTATTTTCTTAAGAGGTGACTTGTTCTTATGGTTTGCTCTTCATCCAAATCAATATTTAGTAATTAATATATAACTAGCATATATACTTTTGTATATTATTTGCCTCTGATGTCAGAGAGTAATATTATTTGGTACACAATAATGTGGAATTAATTTATTTTAATATTAATTTTAATATCCAGAAATTGGAAAGATAAAGAAAGAAAGAAAAACTGCAAAAACAAAGTTAATAAAAAATATGAACTTTATGTACATGCTAATTCTTCTCAAGGAAGGCTTATAGAAGTGGGAACAATTATTTTACTAGTTTGGTTTATCCTTGACATTTAAATTTTCACCTGGCCCTTATTTATGTCTGCAATACCAATAGCCTGAGTGCAGGAAATTCAATAAGTGGCTTAAAATAGGAAGAAAACTCATACAGGAGAAATAATAACTATTTAGATCTTTAAAAGCTGACTGATTGCTTTTAGATACACAAATATACATAAAAATACAGAGTTGGATTGGATTTTTTCTTCTTCTTTTTCTTATATTTTTATTCCACCAATTTGAGAGTCAAGAAAAAAAACTTGCACTTCAAGGGAACATGAATGGAAAGAAAGGCTATAGAAAAGAAGGTGTTCTGGCCTAGGCTTCCCAAAAGCATGGAGCAAACTCCTTGTCTCGACAAAAAACCCCTTTTATTAATTTACTGTGAATTCTGCTCATTCACATCCAGCAAAGTTTTCAAGGGAGAATTTACAGTCACAGACCTTATCTGGCTTGGAGAATTGACAGGGCGATATCTGTAAAACTTGGCAAGGAGTCTTGGAGAGTCACAAACCAATTAAGTGAACTAATTGTCTCCTGCAAACTCCACTCCCCTTTCGCTCTTCTTTTATTTCCTCTGGGAGGGGCCATTCATTGTCTACCTGTGGACTTACTCCTAAGTCAATCCCTGCTCTTTAGCTGTTTCCTTTGTCTGGCAACTCTGGGCATCCGCACACTAGGAACAGGCTCCAGCTATTCGTCTGCCTCATTGATGTCTGCCTCTGAAAGCAGCTGTTAACTGGCTTAAGGCTCTGGCCCCCTTCTCTGCCTCTGACACAGAGCCCTCATAAGAGCCTTCCCCAGACTCCAGGACTGGTCCATGTTCCTCCTGAACCTCCTCACTGTCCGGATCTGCTCCACTGGCAGGCTACGACAGAAGGAAAGACTAAAGAATAACCCAAATAAAGTAAACTTTAAATGAGCATTTGTACCTAATTTGAATCAGTATATTCTTCTATAATGCTGAAGTGACAAGGAGTTTATTGATACCTGCTGCGCAACTGCATTTGTCTTGTAAGGGGAGGGAGGCATTGAAGTTTGTTGGGGAGGAAGAACCTCAAGATATGCCATCAGAAATTAGTTTTGGCAGGAACGAACAGGCCATCCCTCTAGAATAATAACAAGAGAACAAAGCAAGTTCTTTTCAGAGCCACAGAGTGCTCAAATAAGGGAATCAAGCAGAGTTCTTGCCCTATCAACAAACCAGGAATACCATCCAACAGCACTAGAACTTTAATGAGAAGAGGACATAAGAGAAGAGATAGAAGAGAGTGCTTGAAAGCAAAACTTGTGGCGTTTTATGAAGGGCCACACCCTTGCAGAGTCACTGTTTATAGTCTGGCCCCAAGGAATGAACATTGAGGCAATCACACTCGTGTTTTTAATAAAAATGGAGTGATCAAGCAAAGCCTGATATCATGTGGCTAGAAAAATTACAAAAGAAATTTGCGAGCAAATGAAAGTACTTCACCAGCATTACTTAATTCATTAGAAATTCAGTTTGCTACCTCACTATCAGAT